TGCCTTACTAAAATCAGGAGAGACAAGATGATGATATAATCTAAAAGTTGTTATCCAAATTGGAGATTATATCATAAACTATAACAGATACATTACTACGTCCTTTTCAAAAGCCGAACTGCTCCTCAGGCAATATTTTGTTAATACAAGTAAACTCCTGAATTTGTCGATTATTTTCTGTAAAAAGTGATAAAAGTCTGATAGATCTTAAGTCATTTACTTGTTCTTGATTGTTGGTTTTATGAAGTGGCATAACGAGCGACACTTTCCATAGCTGGGGAAAATATCCTGTCTGTTTCCAGCAATTCAGAACGTGAACCAAAGAACTAGAAATGGATGCGAGGCACAATTTCATGGGGTTTGTCACGCTGGAGAAGAAGTCATTAAGTTGAAGTCAAGGCATCATATTTTAGATTTTGATACTGCTTCTTTGGGCATATCCAGTCCTGTAACAACGACGAATCGTTCTGCTCGCGTCGGCTAAGCTGAGCCAGTTGGCCGGTCCCCCCACCACTCTCCCTGAAACAGCTGAAGTGAGCGTCAAGTCGTGCTCGGCCAAGCGGCGGACTGCCTGCGTCATGTCGACCTTGAACTTGAACTGGCTGAGGCGATTTTCGGGTATTCAATAGGCTGCCGTTTGGACCAATAGCTGATGGGATACTGTGACCACATTAGCAATGGCCACCTAATCATGTTTAGGATATCCTGATGTTTGGTGTATATGTAGGTTTTCATGAGTTCATTCAAGTTACGGGTTTAGACTTTGTCCGCTGAAGCGCCTGAAATGTAAAACAGCATCTGTAGATATTAGTTAGCATCAAATGGTAGCTAAGGTATCAAGCTGACCTTCATTAATGAATGAATAGGAAAATCTTCAGAGTTTATTTACTTAAGCTCCCTACCTCCACCCTTTAAAAAATAAATGAGAAAATAGCACGCTATACGTAAATCGTTTAGCTAGCGAAATGACCAAGAAAACATCAACAAGCATAAGCAGTCGAGAAAAGCTGAATCATAGGTTTGAAGTTAGGAAGTAGATACTTTCCAACAATCCCTCCCCTTCTTTCATAGATAGAAAGCTCAGTTGGGACGGGGTTGGCAAGGTATTGATGTTAGAAATTCCAAACTAGTAGTTGTCTTTGATACCAACCATGTATCCTTACACTTAGGGCCCTAAAAGCTAACTAGCTATTACAATTTACAGGTCTTACTAATAACTTCCGTTTTTATAAAGTAAAAAGATCACCGGCGAAGAGTATGATTTATAACTTTAAGAAAACAGAAGATTAGGTACATGACTTCAGTATGAAAAGGGAGTTAACACGTTAACACCTAGCTTGAAGCTTGACGTATTGGCTATGGCTGTTAGATCCCCTATTCTACTGTCCACACTAATAGTCTAGTCATATTAGCAAATTTCCCCGAAATAATTGTAAAGTCTGGTTTTATTGGTGTAAGTTGTTCAAGGGGGTATTTAAAACATGGACGCATAAAATGGGAACAGCAATTTTTGTGGGAAAACTTTTTATTTGACAACAAAGAATGAGAACGCGTATTTTTTTGGACTCAATCGAAAATTTTGACGGGAACAAAAAACTTTTCATATAAGATTTTTAGGTATAAATGAGACTTACAAAATGAGACCACACGTAAAAAGATCCGACTGATACCAAAAATGTTATGGCCGAAAAACGAGGCAAAATGTAGGTTTTGGCACTTGTTGGTAATGCAACGATGGTTTCTCGCAAATACTTGGAATTCTTCAAATCCGTAAGATTCATACTCCTAAATAACAACTACAAAATTGGATCATATTGGTCAAGTAGTTTTTTGAGAATTTCTAATTGTTTATCCCAAAACACTTCCGGCCATCACTACTAGTTTATTAAACAATATACAGAGTTCGTTCAAAGAGCATTTAATAGCAAAATACATGTGTTCACCTTGGCGATATGATTCATAAACCGTTCCGAAAGATAAATGTTATTTTTATGCGAAAAACAAGGTTACGTTTTTTCTTGTAAACAAATTTCGTATTTGTGAGTAATTAAACAAATGCGAAACGATATTCGAAAAATATATATTACTATACACATTTTAAAACAAAGCAGCTGTGTCTATCATCTATTGTTGCGAATTACTCACAAATACAACAAGTTTAAATTTATTTAGGAGAAAAAACGTAACCCATCATTTTTTGCATAAAAATAACATTTATCTTCCGGAATGGTTTGCGATTCGAATCGGCAAGGTAAACTAGTGTAATTTGCTATAAAATGCCCTTTCAACTAACCCTGTATATTGCTCAATAGACCAGTAGTGATGGCCAGAAAACAGGTGCTTTGGGATAAATAATTAAAAATTCTCAAAAACTACTTGACCAATCTACTCCAATTTCGTTGTGAATATTTCGAAATACAAATTCGTAGGAATTTCAAATATCTGCGAGAAACCATTGTCGCAATACCAACAAGTGCCAAAACCTGCAGTTTGCCTCGGTTTTCTCCATAACTTGTTTGCTATTAGTCGGATCTGTTTACGTGTAGTCTCATTATGTAGGTCTCATAAATACCTAAAAATCTTGTATGGAGAGTTTTTTCCGATCCTGCCACAACTTTCGATGAAAACCCAAAAAACACTCATTGTTTGTTGTCGAATAATAAGTTTTCCCACAAAAATTGGTGTACCCATTTTATGAGTTAATGTTTTGAATATCCCCTTGAACAACTTGCATCAATAAAACTTGACTTTACAATTATTTCGCAAACCAGGGTATTTTCGTCTAATATGATTAGACTACTAGGCGCGCTTCAGGAGAGGACAATTCGTTAACATAACATCAACCCATAATCCCAAACCGCTTTCTTATCAACGCGAACAAAATATCAGTAGTCTATTACGATCCGCCCAGGGAGACAGGTCCATGATCAAATCTGCGAGTTGTATTCTTTTTCATGAGCTTCGATGGATAAAACCAGAGCGATCTAGGAATATTTCACGCCTTCCAGGTTATTCCTATTCGCATTCAGTTATTATATCTATAGACTCTGAAATTGATTATTAACAGGCAAGCGTAAACATTTTTTGGTCATTTCGATTGCACCCACAAAGAAAGCAGTGGCATGCATGGTTAATATCGAAATGTTCGTTTAAAATTTGATTGTGTCGCCCCTGGAATAATTCAGTTAGATATAACCAATACTGATTAAGTTACTGAATGCCTGATATCGATTCAGAAGTGTCATATATATAACTTGAGACGTGGTCATTGTCGTCTACACCAGTTAGGTAAAAAATAAAGCTTCCGCCTTTAGTTGGGTACTTCGACAAAATTCAAGTAATGAGGACTCTTTATATTTTATTAGTCTCTAGCTTTCAATGGACTTTGCCATCTTCATCAGGAGCTACAATAACATTCAGAAGAAATAGCAACTATTGTGCAAAATGATTTTAAATTAACTTAAATAGTATGTGATATTGTTGCTAAATGTTATTCACGTTTAAGTTGAGGGAAACATTTAGTAGCCTGGTGAAAGCTGGATACATGGTACATTCGTAAATTTAATATAAAATACACACAGCTATATGTCAGGAACAAATTAAAATGGATTAAAATATTTAGAACGAAAGTTAAAATTACATCGTGAACCACCTGATGCTGCACAAAATGGTGTGGCACAGGATCATAAGTAGGATGAAACATTTGACAGAAGGTTGGTGGTGTCAGTGTCGATGGATGGAACGAACATTTTTGTAAAGTGTGTGCTATGTTGCCAAATCACTTCAGATGGTGTGATTTAAAGGTATGTTAAATAAGAACTTGTCAACAGACCAGAGGCAGTTGAACAAGCTACATTGTTGTTGAGATGGACAATTAAATTAAACAATTATTTTATTATGAGAAGAAAACAATTATTCAAATTTGAATAGAATGGAAATGTTGGAGGGAAAGGGTGGAATAGACGAAAGAACCAGATCCCATTTATGCTTGTGAAAAGTCAAAACTTGGAGAGATGTGTGTGTGCTCCAACTTTTCGCAGTTTAGCAAATATGAGTAAATGACGCTCAGTTGCTTAACATCTGTCTTCTTATTCATAGAGTTGTCATTCATGAAAATGTGGGACATTTCCAGGAATAAACGTTTGCATACGTGTTTTTCTTTATCATCAGCTTTGATACTGGTGTAGTTCATGGAGTGCCCTATGTATATTTGGTTGCAATTATTGCAATTGATAGAGTAAACTTGTGAAAGCAATATTACATTTGAATTGAGATTTGGTAAAAAGAACGTAAAATAAACTGGGTGAACTGAAGTGAGGTGACATTATCTGAAATTGTTTGTAGATCGAACGCGACTTATAATAACGTCACACTCTAACTTTTAACTCCAACAATAAAGTTTTTCAAATGATCATAAGCATCCAATGTAAAAATAAGTTTGGACGATTTCCTTCGTTTTTGCCCCTAGCTCCTATCGCTGGATTGATTTTCAAAACCTACAGAGCTTTTTTGTCCTAGAAATAGTAGTAACCTTGTGTCATTATTTCATGAAAATCCCAGTGGTACTTTCCAAGTTACGGAGGAGCCAAAGATTAGTGAACAAGCAGATCGACAGAAATGAATGACATGTAAGATTATTTTCAAAATGTTTCAGGAATACAAAACGCCAATTGGCGTGAAAAGTAGAAGGCTATAAGCTGGCCCCCAAAAAGTAATAAAACTGTCTAAATTCTATGCGAAATATCTGAACCATGAAACAAGACTTTCGCGCACACATCAAGACCATTGTTACCAAAGTGTTCAATAAATTGACTAAATTATCGAACAATATAATATCCAAAACGAAGCAAGTTGTTCATCCTCCTTGTTCCGTCAGCGACCTTGAGTCGATCGAACCATCTGTCGGTTGAAGTACCCTCGGTACCTCGACAGTACTTAGCGACGAAGACCAACGCCGCAGTAAAAATAATGATTTCACGACCGCCAAACAAAAGAATAACTCCGCCAAACTGGTTGTCGAAAATGTTCGCCTGGTTCTTGGCGAACAAAACGAACGTCTACGACCCGTTCTTCTTCTCTTGCTTCTTCTTCTTCTGCTGCCTGCGCGCAAGCAGTTGTTTTATTTTTAAAACTACTTTTGCTTTCGTTGGTCGTCGAAGAAGAAGAGCCATCTTGTCGGCCGGGGGCCGTGTACTTGAAATCAAAATTCGTACGTTCTTTCGTTTTCATTGAATTGGGATACTGAATATATCTCTACCAGTTCGGAGCTTCATATTCAATGTAGTCGGTACATACTGAAAAATAGTTTTCGTTCAAGATCAACACCTTGACGTTGATTTGAGGAAAATATAACTTTTACATATTTCTAAGAAATTCTTCCTAAAATTGATGAGATTTAGACTTCATAATCATTTTAGTTTAAGAAAAAAGATAAAGAAAAGAGGTAATAAACCAGTGTAAATAACCCAAGGTATGGTATGCTTGTAGGTATCATAAAGTGTGGGCTTACAGCTAGGAAATCATTTTTCAATGCTATGTAACTTATGCCACTAAATGTAAAAATAAGGTTGGAAAGGTAGAAAGATAAGTACGATGATTTAAAATAAACTGTAATGCAACAGCTAGATAGTTTCTTGTGGATTTTCGAAAAGTGGTGGTCAAGAATGGCGAAAAACATCTTTTCGCTCATATTTTTCAAACTGAGCTAAACCTAAGCAGACCAAATCAATGTAAAGTTAGCCCTTCTGAGCAAAAATTAGCTACGAACATGTTTAACAAAAAATTAAATGACCTTCCTCCTCAACCTGAGAGGAATTGCTGCCAGCAGATGATCGTTGCTATGTCCATTCTCACGTGGCTGACGAGATTTACTTTTACAACAGACAACAGCACAATAGCGACTCCCGACTGCGACGCACAACGTACGCCAGACCACGTCGCACATATCGACACACGGCTATTGGGAGACATTTCTAAGTTTTAAGGATAAATGTACCTGGACATCTATGATGAGTGAAATATGTCTAATGAGTGCACAGAATTAGTGGAGTTGGAGGCATATAAATATACCAACTTCAAAAAATTGAGATTTGCCCTCCCCCAGCTCCTGCAACCCCTAACCTACAATTTTTAACCCATAAAATTTTTTCCGAAAATCAATAGGAGCCTCTAAAACATCAAAAAACGAAATTTGAGCGATTTTTATTTTTGGCCTTCTTCACTGGACCGATTTTCAAAAACTACAATTTTTTTGTCCTTGGTATAGTAGTTACCTTGTTTAAAAATGTCATTTTGCAGTCTAGGTAGTTTTTAGTGTGCCACACTATGATCGGTGTGAGCGCCATCACAAGCATCCATGTATGGAGGAATGACTCAACGACACGACATGCATTGTTTGTTACAGAAAGCCGAGTAGTCTGTAGTGTTTATCTCTGAGAAGATGTGAAAGAAAGAAAGTTGGTTGAGTAGCAATATCGCATCTGGATGATTATGTGTATGGGTCTGCATGTGTATAAAATCAATAATATTTATTATGTGAGAAAATTATTGAATATGAATATGCTGCTGCAGTATATCAATTAGCTGTGCCGGCCGAGTTATTTATATGTTGTCCTTTCTGGAGAGAGGTTGGCCTGGGTAAAGATAACATGGCTACCCAAGAAAACTGTTGAAATATACCCTACTAGTGTAAGACTATCCGTAGCGAAAATTTTCTCGAAATCGTTGCACAACAGAACAGAAAAATGCAAATGAAAATTGGAAAATTGACGCCTTGACGTTCGAAATGGCTCCGTCGGTACCCCAGGCTAGGCATAAGTTTTGGCAGCTGACCTTGTTATTCTTGTCACCTGGATTGCGGTGTTGTCGGCTCATTGGACGTTTCTGCTACCTTTGCTATTATCTTGTGGTATAAAAAAAGCTTTTGATAAAATATTGAGGAATACCAAAGGAGAAACATAAGATTTAAGGTGTAATAATGTTTGCCTAATAGCTAAATGAGACTCCGATACATATTCTCATTGTACGTGCAAGAACAAACAAAACAAGACTGGTGTAGTTTATGTTTTATGAAAATTAGTATTGTTACGAAGTTGACATGTTGCAGAAAAGCATGTTATGTCACAAAAAACTTACAACATTTCAAGATAGGTAATACCCGTGCCGAGCGATACTTGAAAATGTGAATGTGTGAAAAAGTTATTGCAACAAAACTGTTAAGTATCGATTGCTTATATTTACATCAAAATAGGATAGACTAACACAAGAGGATGCTTTGAAAGTTCGTAAAATACTATAAAACTATGTTACAAAAAATACATTTCTGGAATAAAATATTGCATTATAATAACACACAAACATCGAGTTTAAAAAATGTCACTATTACCATATTTATGACAGCGTAACTCAAAACAGTTGCAGTGTTGAAAAAGTTTCGCAACATTCTGTTTAGAAACGCTGCGAAACGTTTCACCGTGATGCAGACGAAACGTAAGCAATTCATTCATAATGTTTTTGAGGTAAGTACACTTTCGCAAAAGTTTAATTTTCTGATATTGTGATGGAAGAACCGTTCAACACTGTTGAATCAAAAGTAAAAGAGAGGTTGTTTATTGAAAAAAGTTGTTTCGAACTAGGCCTTAGGGGGTTGCGTTTACATCGAAATAAGTAGGCTTATCATTTGTTTTTATAACAAATTCATTTGCCGGCGTTTCCAGTTAAGTCTATCCAGCTTTGAGTTCAAAGTACATACAGCAATAAAGGTATAATTAACACAGAATAAATTAAACTAGATAGGTATTTGGCACGGTTAATTAAAAAAAAACATTCAGATACATCTCCACTAAACAACGTTGCGTGCAGATCTTACGGCTTCAATCTTTAAGTAGGCATTCTTCGTATGCCGTGGAGGGTGGAATATTAATCAAGAAATTATTAATTTAAATACTCTTTATATTATTTGCAAATTGGTGAAACAGCTAGAAACGGTTGGAAAAGATGTGTATTAGAAATTATTCTATATTTGAGGTAACGGTGCAAGTCGGCGGTGCGATATACATCTTCATGGGATAACTCAGAGTTAATTCACAAATTTAATTGATAGGTTTATTCTGTTATGTATATTAATATTCATTTATTTCTGCTAAAATCTCATGTAAAGAGTAGGCGCTGGGAGAAGTTGAGTATGTAAAATGTGAATACCTTATATTGCCATTGGATATAACTCATATTTCCAAGGTATGTACACAAGTGTTTTCCATGAGTTTTACGCCTTTTGTATTTCTCAGGTGCATTCTACTACGAACTGTTTTCTTCAAAATTGTAATTCTTGAATTTGCTTGGGCCATTAATGAAATAACAGTAACATGAATACTAGAAAATATTCGGAAATGCACCCTTTTTGAATCACTGATTCAAATCGTTGCAACACTGTTAATCTTTTATCCGTATGGTTTTAGATGATGGAAAAGCAGTATCTCTGTATTTTGGTTCTGCCTTCTTGGTTACTTGGTTACTCAATTTTGTGCTAGTCTCGTCGCTTCCCTCTCGTACACATTACCTCGTCATGACATTTGGATTTCTCTGTATAAGATAAAAAGATTTACTCTTATTTAAATGCGTTCACTACAAGTGACGGTCAACGAATTCATCCAAAAAGGATAATATGTCCGGCAACAACGCATTTATTTCCGAATAAATGAGAACAGCCAAGTTTAGGCGACGACAGCTGTGTTGTGGGCTCCGTTTTTTTGGAGTCATTTCTTAACTCTCTCTAATTTTATTCGCTTTGTCTAGCTACTCTTTGGTATAAATATTTTTTTAATATATCCTGCTTCAATCCAAAATACGTCTTTTGATGGCCTTCGAAGCATTTATGAGCATTTTTGGGTTCGTATGGATATACCTTATCGAGCAGTGCGACATTGCCAGATTGTGACAGGCGAATTTATAAATCACGGTATGCTGATAACGTAATGTATAGCTTTAAACGGAAATTTAAGGAATTTGTGGGGATTTTGTTTCAAAGTGACATTATGTCGTTTTTTATGCCCTCTCCAGACTCACGCGCGATTCGCGCGCGAAGCCGCGAACTACCCGCGATCCATGAGTGTGGATCCCATTCGCGTATTCTTCGCGGCTTCACGTCGCGTTCGCGCGTTGTTCCCGTTTGTTGTCGGTTTTTTGTCCCGCGACAAAGGGTTCGCAAAGCGCGAACATGACTAGGCTCCACATTCGCTGGTGGTTCAGTTGCCTCATAGCGAGTGTCGGGAGTGGTTGTGTTTTTTCCACTTATTTTCAATTGCTCTAGTTTTACTTATATATGCGTAATTATAAAATGCCAAAGCGCAAAGTAGCACTGCAGCAGGAGTAGCAATTTCACCATCCATACTCGTCAAGACCGCGAACTATACTGTGAAGCAGGCGCGAACATCTGCGAGTGTGGAACTGTAGGAAGAAATTTCGGGATTCGCACCGCGATCCGAGCCGCGATTTCACGCCGTGATTCGCGCGTGAGTCTGGAGAGGGTATTAACATTATATAGGTTTTTTGTGACATTATGTAGGCTTTTCTATAAGATATCAACTTAGCACTAGCTGGTCTTCACTTGATGTGCACTCGTTCTGTAACTGTACATGTTGCCTAGACGTCATAGCGCTGGTAACATCTGCTTTAGAGATGGCATTATTGGAGGCATAAGATATAAGTTGTATACTATAGCTGGAAGGAAACGGCAGTGCATAGGTGCATAGTGAGGATTTGTGCGGTAATAATCTGTGTTGATGATAATTCCATTGCTTTCTTGTCTCTAATACACTTACTTAAGATGTAAGCAAAGCTAGGAATTATTCGTTATTCGCATCCACTTTTTCTTATTCATCCTTAAAATTACACACGCAAATTTGCTGAATTTCATAAATGAGAGAAATAAAAGAAATCCCTGGTTAGTGAAGTATATTACAACCAACACGTGAGAAAATATTCACCGACAAGAATATTTATGAATCGTGAAAAAGTTGTTTCATTTTACATTATTTGTTATTTCCAGTCATTTAACTCTTACAGAAACGTTTGATGAGTCATTCCTAATTTCCCTGTGATGTGACTTAATTACACAAGATGGGAAAATCGTAATTCATAACTTTAAACATAACCTCTCTTCAGGAAGAACAACACAAATAACCCGTCTGGTTCAGCTAATAGATATACTTCACGGGTAGCACATTCAGAAA